ACGACACAAGGTTGTAACAATATTGTTATATCATGATTGTATCGGACTTGTTGAAACAACTTTGCAACAAGTCTGATAATATCTACAAGGTTGTTACAAGTTGTTCACAGCTGTTCCAAACTTGTTGACATGAACTTGGGACAAGCAGTGCGAACACAACTTGTTGACGGCTTGTTGGCAGACTTGCAACAAGATGTGAGATTTTTGCGTGTGTGTAGTTGAGTACTTGACTGAGAATGTCAAAGTATGTCGTTGATTTCCACGCATGTAGCAAGACTGGACAATTTTCTGAGCATTTTATTTACAAAATCACTTTGTTACATAATATCGGACAAAAAGCTAGGCCTCTTTATCAAAGTTAAACAATAACTATTGTTCCATTTGCCGTTCTTACCGTCTTCGTCTATATTAGTTTTGTGTATTAAAAGGCTGTATATATAATTAGATAGTATGTCAGTATTCGTTAACAACTGTCAAAATTCCAAATTTTTCTTATTCACAACAACTGCAGAAGCGAATGCCCTTGTCTCACCCATTGAAGGTAAACTCTTCCAATAATTTGATAAAAAGTTGAAACAATCCACTACACCTGCAGAAATTACAACAAGCGTGTTTCCACGATAAACACACGAACAGTCAGTTCGTCCCATTTTCATGGCCAATAGCACCTTACTCTGGCCAGTTTTGAAATCGTACTCGATAATCTTTTTGCTGGCTTTATTGTTCTCCATACCTCCAATCAAAAGCATCGTATCAGCACGCCGAACTGTGCCCATACAGCGAACAGGCGATGGCAGTGGTGGCATTTGAACACATTCGTTTCTTGCTATGTCGAATATTTCCACATCGGTTTCCGCTCCAACTCCACCAGCGATCAACACTTTATCATTGAAAAACTCCACTCCATGGAACGCTCGTTTCTTCTTCATGTGACAAAGCAACTTGGATGAATACGGAGGAACAAGGAGAAGCTCGTATATCGTATCCAGAGTCTCGCCTGGCTTCGTTTCGCCACCAATAATCAGCAAACTATTCACATGAACGACGCACTTGTGAGCAGAGACCTTGATAGGAAGATTGACAAAAAACTTGTCCCATTCTGGAGGATTACCATTCAGATCTAATACTTCGATGCTATCCAGAAGCGCACCAGAGTCGTTGACCCCGCCACAAACAAACATTTGATTCTTAAACATCACGGCTGCAGAATCCGATCGAGCTATTTTCAAACAAGGCAGTTGTGTCCAGGTTTGGTTTAACAAGTTAAATCGCTCAACAGAAGAAAGGCACTTCTTTGTGTTGAGATTCCAACCTGCGATGACAGCAATTTCAGTATTCTTGAAGTTTGCAGACTTTTGAAGACTTTCAACCGCAATCATTACTCGTTGCATGCACGTCATCATTTCATGTTGCATGGCTTTCATTTCTGCTAGATCCTTTTTTACTTCGTCCATTTCACGTCGTAGCACGCAGCCATGGGCGCCAAATTTATGACGAGGCATCTTTTCTCCACAGTCGTCACAGGTCGTTATCTTGAAGCGACATAAATCAAGCTCGTGTTGCTTTACATCGCGTTTGCTCAGGACTTCGTCACAACCTTCATTTGAGCAAGTGACAGGCATGAAATCACAGTCCTGAACGTGTGCCTGTAGAGCTCCAAGCTCGAGAACCGCATCACAGCCTCTCGCTGCATGGTCACAACTGATCTTGTAACGTGAAACACAGTCGGCCACAATTCTTGGAGCCTTACGCAATGTCTCTACCGTCAGTTTATCTTGACAGACAGGACAAGTATGCGAGGTCTTCTCCAGGTGTTTCTTGATACAACCAGAACAGAAATAGTGCTCGTTGTTCTCACATTGCTTTGGATCTTGTAAGACACCGAGACAGATACAGCAAACAAAGCCCTCGTCAATAGTTGAATGAAAACGAGTTGTGTCGTAACCCTCGGCCATATTCTTTACGATACAAGCACAATCAAAGTTAAGTTACATCTTGTAACATAACCAGTAGAAACTGTTTCATATATTGACCTATACATACGCTTGCTTTTCTTCGAAGAACAAAGTCAAAGGTGGGCAGAATAGTTCGCCCAATTCCGCGGACGTTAAAGTTTACTGAGAACTGTTGTTCTAGGAAGTGCAAATTTCGAAATCAGTCTTGTGACTAGAGGTCATAACCTTTGCAACCATATTTGGCTAACATCCTTTTGATGCGTTTATCCAAAGATTTTCGCAAAGTTATATGATTAGCAACAAAAACGAAGGAATTTTCAAGGAAGTGGTTTGCGAAATAGTAAGGAATTTGCGAAAGCAACTGCAATACGAAGTGAGATTTTATTTACTTATTTTATTTATTCATACAAATTATTTCAAAACGGTAGCTCTTCACTACCTAAATGCTGCTTTTCAAGAGACCGTTTATTTACATCAAATTATTAAATCTATACTAATATTGAAAATAATATAGAAATATTAAAAAGACTACTTTATAGATATACTCGCACAAGCGGACAAGCCCACTTATTGCTTTAATACAGGCCCACTGCATGTTTATACAAACTATTTACAACCCTAAACTAAAGTTAGAAAAAATCCGCCCCACAAAGTTGGCAACTCTCTCTTTCCAATTCGCTAAAATAATTATTAATGATAGTTTAAAATTTGAAGCTTTTTGTAGAGAGAGTGATTATATCCATAATCCATTGACAACTTTATTTACCAGATTCGATTTTTCCACAGACCTGCCGCCAACCTTAACGACTGATATATGTGGAGAATTCGTATTTAAACACTTAATTTCGCGGGAGAATTGGCTGTTTAGAGGGAGAAAACTCATCAAAGCCCTTTTCATTAGAGCAGTCAGATAAGTGGCTCGTTAAAACTCCTATCCATCTAATTGGTTTATTTTTTGTCACGTGATGCTTTCATACTCTTAGTATAAAAGCTCGTGCATTTTCCCCGATCCCTGCTACTAACTCTTGATGAAGGGCCTTCGCTCGAAACGTCGAGTTTCTGCTTATTTTTTAAGGTATATCTTGGACTGTAAATACAATATGAAGACGTGTTTTAACAAATAAATTTAAATTTTGACTTTCCAAACGTTATAGTCTATAGAATCTAAAATGAAATCATTACAATAAATGGATGAAACGAAACGCAGTAGATATTTGTCGATAAAATTTAACTGATAAGATCGACAAGAAATCGGGATAATTGCCAGTTGTCAATACCGGGAGAAATTTTTCACTACCGGGAGATCACATGAGGGAGAGTTGGCAGGTCTGTTTCCATGCCGAGGCAGCCCGGTAGGAAATGGATCTCTTCGTAAAGTCAGTGTTACTAACACTGACTTTGTGTGTTAGGTAAAGCTTACAATTATTGCTGTGTAG